CAGCATCATTGACCCTGAAATACAACACCGCCTGAGCTCTGCGAGTGCAGCATCATTGACCCTGAAATACAACACCGCCTGAGCTCTGCGAGTGCAGCATCATTGACCCTGAAATACAACACCGCCTGAGCTCTGCGAGTGCAGCATCATTGACCCTGAAATACAACACCGCCTGAGCTCTGCGAGTGCAGCATCATTGACCCTGAAATACAACACCGCCTGAGCTCTGCGAGTGCAGCATCATTGACCCTGAAATACAACACCGCCTGAGCTCTGCGAGTGCAGCATCATTGACCCTGAAATACAACACCGCCTGAGCTCTGCGAGTGCAGCATCATTGACCCTGAAATACAACACCGCCTGAGCTCTGCGAGTGCAGCATCATTGACCCTGAAATACAACACCGCCTGAACTCTGTAAGTGCAGCATCATTGACCCTGAAATACAACACCGCCTGAGCTCTGCGAGTGCAGCATCATTGACCCTGAAATACAACACCGCCTGAGCTCTGCGAGTGCAGCATCATTGACCCTGAAATACAACACCGCCTGAGCTCTGCGAGTGCAGCATCATTGACCCTGAAATACAACACCGCCTGAGCTCTGCGAGTGCAGCATCATTGACCCTGAAATACAACACCGCCTGAGCTCTGCGAGTGCAGCATCATTGACCCTGAAATACAACACCGCCTGAGCTCTGCGAGTGCAGCATCATTGACCCTGAAATACAACACCGCCTGAGCTCTGCGAGTGCAGCATCATTGACCCTGAAATACAACACCGCCTGAACTCTGCGAGTGCAGCATCATTGACCCTGAAATACAACACCGCCTGAGCTCTGCGAGTGCAGCATCATTGACCCTGAAATAGAACACCGCCTGAACTCTGCGAGTGCAGCATCATTGACCCTGAAATACAACACCGCCTGAGCTCTGCGAGTGCAGCATCATTGACCCTGAAATACAACACCGCCTGAACTCTGCGAGTGCAGCATCATTGACCCTGAAATACAACACCGCCTCAGCTCTGCGAGTGCAGCATCATTGACCCTGAAATACAACACCGCCTGAGCTCTGCGAGTGCAGCATCATTGACCCTGAAATACAACACCGCCTGAGCTCTGTGAGTGCAGCATCATTGACCCTGAAATACAACACCGCCTGAGCTCTGTGAGTGCAGCATCATTGACCCTGAAATACAACACCGCCTGAACTCTGCGAGTGCAGCATCATTGACCCTGAAATACAACACCGCCTCAGCTCTGCGAGTGCAGCATCATTGACCCTGAAATACAACACCGCCTGAGCTCTGCGAGTGCAGCATCATTGACCCTGAAATACAACACCACCTGAGCTCTGTGAGTGCAGCATCATTGACCCTGAAATACAACACCGCCTGAACTCTGTGAGTGCAGCATCATTGACCCTGAAATACAACACCGCCTGAGCTCTGCGAGTGCAGCATCATTGACCCTGAAATACAACACCGCCTGAGCTCTGCGAGTGCAGCATCATTGACCCTGAAATACAACACCGCCTGAACTCTGCGAGTGCAGCATCATTGACCCTGAAATACAACACCGCCTGAGCTCTGCGAGTGCAGCATCATTGACCCTGAAATACAACACCGCCTGAACTCTGCGAGTGCAGCATCATTGACCCTGAAATACAACACCGCCTGAGCTCTGCGAGTGCAGCATCATTGACCCTGAAATACAACACCGCCTGAACTCTGCGAGTGCAGCATCATTGACCCTGAAATACAACACCGCCTGAGCTCTGCGAGTGCAGCATCATTGACCCTGAAATACAACACCGCCTGAGCTCTGCGAGTGCAGCATCATTGACCCTGAAATACAACACCGCCTGAGCTCTGCGAGTGCAGCATCATTGACCCTGAAATACAACACCGCCACAGCTCTGCGAGTGCAGCATCATTGACCCTGAAATACAACACCGCCTGAGCTCTGCGAGTGCAGCATCATTGACCCTGAAATACAACACCGCCTGAGCTCTGCGAGTGCAGCATCATTGACCCTGAAATACAACACCGCCTGAGCTCTGCGAGTGCAGCATCATTGACCCTGAAATACAACACCGCCTGAGCTCTGCGAGTGCAGCATCATTGACCCTGAAATACAACACCGCCTCAGCTCTGCGAGTGCAGCATCATTGACCCTGAAATACAACACCGCCTCAGCTCTGCGAGTGCAGCATCATTGACCCTGAAATACAACACCGCCTGAGCTCTGCGAGTGCAGCATCATTGACCCTGAAATACAACACCGCCTGAGCTCTGCGAGTGCAGCATCATTGACCCTGAAATACAACACCGCCTGAGCTCTGCGAGTGCAGCATCGTTGACCCTGAAATACAACACCGCCTCAGCTCTGCGAGTGCAGCATCATTGACCCTGAAATACAACACCGCCTCAGCTCTGCGAGTGCAGCATCATTGACCCTGAAATACAACACCGCCTGAGCTCTGCGAGTGCAGCATCATTGACCCTGAAATACAACACCGCCTGAGCTCTGCGAGTGCAGCATCATTGACCCTGAAATACAACACCGCCTGAGCTCTGCGAGTGCAGCATCATTGACCCTGAAATACAACACCGCCTGAGCTCTGCGAGTGCAGCATCATTGACCCTGAAATACAACACCGCCTGAGCTCTGCGAGTGCAGCGTCATTGACCCTGAAATACAACACCGCCTGAGCTCTGCGAGTGCAGCATCATTGACCCTGAAATACAACACCGCCTGAGCTCTGCGAGTGCAGCATCATTGACCCTGAAATACAACACCGCCTGAGCTCTGCGAGTGCAGCATCATTGACCCTGAAATACAACACCGCCTGAGCTCTGCGAGTGCAGCATCATTGACCCTGAAATACAACACCGCCTGAACTCTGCGAGTGCAGCATCATTGACCCTGAAATACAACACCGCCTGAGCTCTGCGAGTGCAGCATCATTGACCCTGAAATACAACACCGCCTGAACTCTGCGAGTGCAGCATCATTGACCCTGAAATACAACACCGCCTGAGCTCTGCGAGTGCAGCATCATTGACCCTGAAATACAACACCGCCTGAGCTCTGCGAGTGCAGCATCATTGACCCTGAAATACAACACCGCCTGAGCTCTGCGAGTGCAGCATCATTGACCCTGAAATACAACACCGCCTGAGCTCTGCGAGTGCAGCATCATTGACCCTGAAATACAACACCGCCTGAGCTCTGCGAGTGCAGCATCATTGACCCTGAAATACAACACCGCCTGAGCTCTGCGAGTGCAGCATCATTGACCCTGAAATACAACACCGCCTGAGCTCTGCGAGTGCAGCATCATTGACCCTGAAATACAACACCGCCTGAGCTCTGCGAGTGCAGCATCATTGACCCTGAAATACAACACCGCCTGAGCTCTGCGAGTGCAGCATCATTGACCCTGAAATACAACACCGCCTGAGCTCTGCAAGTGCAGCATCATTGACCCTGAAATACAACACCGCCTGAGCTCTGCGAGTGCAGCATTCTTCTGAGTGAAACAGAGAGTGTTTGAGGATCGAAATATCCGTAGGGAAACCAAGGTGCTGGTTTATAAAGCTATTTGGAAAAAAAAACACATATATTTCACTTGGAGATATATTACATTTTCTTTTCAGGATATTAAACAGGGATTTCTATACATGCTCAGAGGAGGAAGTCTGTAGACCAGTACGGACTGTCCAACCACTCTGCTTTGCAATGAGGAATGAATAATACAAGGAATAATAATAATAATAATAATAATAATGTTGTCCTGATACATTGGCCGGTTTTCACTTCTACGAATTTTGATGATATATGAATTTGATTAAAATGCTCTCCTAGTAATCTCTATTTTTTTCAGCATGATTCAATGGTCAGCGTCCAGCGCATGTGCTAGAGGGTCTGGACCAGGCATGGGCAAACTTGGGCCCTCCGGGCGTTTTGGACTTCAACTCCCACAATTCCTAACAGCCCAAGTTTCCCATGCCTGGTCTAGAGATTCCTTAAGAGGCATTCTGTCAAGATATAACAACAACAACAACAACAACATGTTTTCAGCCTAGAAGGAGCATTTCCAAAGACCTCTCAACCAGGAGAGGGCCCTGTTGGGTTTCTAGAAAAGCGTTTCTCTACTTGGGGGTCGCAGCCTCTGGGGGGGTCGTGAGAGGGTTTCAGAGGGTTCATCAAAGACCATCAGAAAACATATGAAGATCTCTCTGCCTGTCCTTCTCTTCTTTTTTGGGAACAGAGGGTGAATCCTTCCCCCCCCCACACACACAAAAAAGATTTCTAGGTCATCCAGCATGATGTCCAGTGGACATTGACCATGGTCTCACACTAGACATCCTAGGAAGGGGTTCCCTCTAGAAATTTCTAGGTCATCCAGCATGACGTCCAGTGGACGTTGAGCATAGTCTTGTACTGGAGGACCTAGGGAGGGTTCCCTCAAGAAATCTCTAGGTCAACCAACATGACCTCCAGCAGATGTTGACCACAGTCTTGCACTGGAGGACCTAGGGAGGGGTTCCTTCTAGAAATCTCTAGGTCATCCAGCATGACATCAAGCGTTGCACTGGAGGACCTAGGGAGGGTTCCCTCGAGAAATCTCTAGGTCAACCAACATGACCTCCAGCAGATGTTGACTACAGTCTTGCACTGGAGGACCTAGGGAAGGGTTCCTTCTAGAAATTTCTAGGTCATCCAGCATGACATCCAGTGTTGCACTGGAGGGTCTAGGGAGGGGTTCCCTCTAGAAATCTCTAGGTCAACCAATATGACATTCAGCAGATGTTGACCACAGTCTTGCATTGGAGGACCTAGGGAGGGGTTCCTTCTAGAAATCTCTAGGTCATCCAGCCTGACATCTAGTGTTGCACTGGAGGGCCTAGGGAGGGGTTCCCTCTAGAAATCTCTAGGTCAACCAATATGACCTTCAGCAGATGTTGACCACAGCCTTGCACTGGAGGACCTCGGAAGGGGTTCCCTCTAGGAATCTCTAGGCCATCCAGAATGACGTCCAGCGGACGTTGACCATATTCTCACACTGGAGGACTTGGGGTTCCTAGACGAAACATTTTTCCTCAAATCTGTCTCATGTCTATCTTGGCTAAACAGACCCAGATCTCTAGGGCTTCCAAACCTTTGCCCTCCTCTAAGATTCTGGTGTATATTTTAATTAATCAAAAGCCCATTGAATAGGATAACCATCTTTTTGAGTATCTTCAGGCATGTCTCCAGCTTCTTTTGGATGCTCTCCATAGGTTTCTTCCCAAGGCCCATGTACCAATGCCAAAGGTGCTTACATAGAGCCATTCCTATTTTTCATTCACCAACAACCTGCCTCCTACGAAATGCCTACTTCGCTTAGTATGAAGAAGGTGACCTTGACTCTCGTTCCAAAGCTGGAAGGATGCACAATTGTGAGAAAGCAACAAAGAGGATCGTGGCTATCTGTAGGAGTGTCCGAAATGCAGGCTGCGGCGGTTGAGTTTCTCCGGATTATTTGACGCCATGTGAGAAAACTCCCGGAAAATGTCAAGATAGGTGGCATCTCCTGTGGAAGGAAGGAAGGAAGACACTGATGCTCGGCTCACCAGCCCTTTCAAAAGGACATCATGAACATAAATCATAACACAACTTCACTCCATTGGAAGGGGACCATAGAATTGCACTGAAGGACCTAGGGAGGGGTACTCTCTAGGAATCTCTAGGTCATCCAGCATGACCTCCAGCAGATGTTGATTAAAGTCTTGCACTGGAGGATCTAGGGAGGAATTCCCTCTAGGAATCTCTAGGTCATCCAGCATGACATCCAGTGGACACTGACCATAGCCTTGCACTGGATGACCTAGAGAAGGGTTCTCTCTAGGAATCTCTAGGCCATCCAGCATGACATCCAGTGGACGTTGACCATAGCCTTGCACTGGAGGACCTAGAGAGGGGTTCTCTTTAGGAATCTCTAGGCCATCCAGCATGACGTTTAGTGGACGTTGCCCATAGTCTTGCACTGGTGGACCTAGAGAGGGGTTACCTCTAGGAATCTCTAGGTCATCCAGCATAACGTCCAGTGCACATTGACTAAAGTCTTGCACTGGAGTATCTAGTGAGGGGTTCTGTCTAGGAATCTCTAGGTCATCCAGTATGACATCCAGTGGATGTTGACCATAGTCTCATACTGGAAGATCTAGGGAGGGGTTCCCTCTAGGAATCTATAGGTCGTCCAGAATGATGTCCAGCAGATGTTGATCATAGTCTCAGACTGGAGGATCTAGAGAGGAGTTCCCTCTAGGAATCTCTAGGTTGTCCAGCATGATGTCCAGCGAACGTTGACCTTGGTCTTGCACTGGAGGACCTAGGGAGGGGTTCCCTCTAGGAATCTCTAGTTGCCCAGCATGACCTTCAGTGTACATTTACAATAGTCTTGCACTGGAGGATCTAGGGAGGGGTTCTCTCTAGAAATTTCTAGGTCATCCAGCATGACGTCCAGCACACGTTGACCATAATTTTGCACTGGAGGACTTGGGGTTTCCAGAGGAAACATTTTCCCTCAAATCTGTCAGCCATCCAATCCATATTCCTAGTCTTGAATAGTTTTCAATGTTTCCTTCTTGGGGTATGAATACAAACAATCAATGCCATGCCTTGTTTGGGGAGCAAGGCTTTCAACTACCACCACTTTGTAACTAGCTACATCTCTGAGTATAAGATAATGCAACACAACAATGGCAGCTAACTAGGGCACAGCCGAGATTACCCAGCGGATAAGACTGGCGCATACTTCCGTCAAAAGATTCCAGGAGGTTCTTTGAGCAAATGTCTTCTGTGCGATACTATGGTCAACATCTGCTGGACGATCTCGAGATTCCTAGACAGAACCCCTCTCTAGGTCCTCCAGTGCAAGACTATGGTCAACGTCCGCTGGACGTCAAGCTGGATGACCTAGAGATTCCTAGAGGGAACCCCTCCCTAGGTCTTCCAGTGCAAGACTATGGTCAACGTCTGCTGGACGTCATGTTGGACGACCTAGAGATTCCTAGACAGAACCTCTCCCTAGGTCCTTCACTGCGAGACTATGGTCAACGTCCGCTGGATGTCATGCTGGACGAGCTAGAGCTTCCTAGACAGAACCCCTCCCTAGGTCCTCCACTGCGAGACTATGGTCAATGTCCACTGGACGTCATGCTGAACCTAGAGATATCCTAGATGGAACCCCTCCCTAGGTCTTCCAATGCGAGGCTGTGGTCAACATCCACTGGTTATCATGCTGGACGACCTAAAGGTACCTAGAAGGAACCCTCCTAGTGTCCCCATTCTCAACTTGGAAGGACCAAAAATGGAAGAGCACCAAGATGCCTCAACTGTAGCTCACTCAAAACACTGCCATTTCCTGGTTGGTAAAGGAAATAGAGTAAAGGAGCAAGCATCTAGTTGTCCTGTAACTGAATGCAGAGTGATAGCCATCCATAGGGAGTTCTAGTGGTCTTCTACTACTGTATCTACTACAGGGAAACAGCTGGATGTTTGCTCTAGTGGTCCTCTAGAGGTATCTGAAGATGCTATTGGTGGACATTTGCCACTTCCCCTACCATCCACCAACCAAGCAATGGCTGGATTCAGCAGGCGACAACTGAGAACTTAAGAGGTGGTTCAAAGGGGTCTTATGGCCTTTACGTGGTCAGTAGAGAATACTGATTTCCACAACAACTGAGTTGAGACAAGTGTAAGTCACACTATGCTCATTCCTCCTCTGGGTATTTGGATTTGGACAAACAGGACGTCCATCTACACAGGACTAAACAAGCAGTGTTTCTTCATATCCATGTGAGGTCCCAGAACCAAACCCTCATGGCTACAAGGACCACTTTCCATATTTACCTACTCCTTGATTTGATTTAAATGCTCTCTCCAAGGTTAATACAATAGCGTTGTTCTTTAATTTGTGGTTCTCTCCCAATTGCGGTGGTCCAGTGAATGTGGAGGACCAACTGTATTACGTTACAGCAGTGGTTCCCAACCTGTGTTCCATGGACCACCAGTGGTCTACAAGAACGAAAATTTGGTCCGTGGTGGCCTCACCATTACTACATCGTTTCCTCGAAACCACGCGGCGAGAGCAACTGGTCTCACGAAACCCTCTTATAGTGCCGAGGCAAACAGGGATGTTGGGAGGGGAGAGGCTCACTACCCACGAAAGATTACTGCTACCACATCAGCTCTAGATGATTAAATATGGTTTTCTGTGGGTAAGCAGATGGCGAATACTGGGTGGCATACGTTCTGTATCAGAAACTAGAACTGATGTGGTCTATCCAGTGCAATTTTCTGAATCAGCTGATGTGGTCTATCTAATGCAAGTTTTTGAATCAGCTGATGTGGTCTATCCAATGCAATTTTCATAATCAGCTGATGTGGTCTATCCAATGCAATTTTCTGAATCAGCTGATGTGGTCTGTCCAATGCAGTTTTCTGAATTAGCTGATGTGGTTTATCCAATACAATTTTCTGAATCAGCTGATGTGGTCTATCCAATGGAATTTTCTGAATCAGCTGATGTGGTCTATCCATTGCAATTTTCTGAACCAGCTGATGTGGTCTATCCAATGCAATTTTCCGAATCAGCTGATGTGGTCTATCCAATGTAATTTTCCAAATAAGCTGATGTGGTCTATCCAATGCAATTTTATGAATCAGCACCCCAAATAACTAAGCCGAATCTAAAGTTGACCAAAACCTAATTCGTAACCTTTTTGGTACTAATGTTGGAGAGGGATTCCCAGTCAAAAAAGGCTTGGGAACCACTGCGTTAGAGCCAGCAATCATAAACAGTCACCCCAATTTGGAATAGTTATTTATTTACTTAGTTCATTTCTACCCCACCTTTCTCAACCCCGGAGGGGAGAGTGGGCGGGGCTACCGCCAAAAATGTTTAATAAAATATCTAGAAGGTTCCGAAAGCAGTTCTGCGCAGGCGCAGGAATTACCATATGTGCGATTCACAGTGACCACGATAGGGAAACTCTCAATCTTGTTTTGTCCGAAAGTGTGAAGGTTAATATAGGAAAAATTGAAGAGACAAAGAGATCACGACAGAAATAACAAGAGGCTATGCAGGAGGAGGTAAAAGACTTTACTCTAGATTTTTTTTATTAACAGTGTTTCAAGAGACAATAGAAGGAAAGAGGAGAAAGAGGGAGGGCAGTAAGACACCAGATCAGTAGGGTTTGTCCTCTCTGGGTGCCTGCGTGTGGATGCCAGAATTGTCCATGTTTTGTTTTCTGTTCAAATCATACAAAGAGAACTCATATACAAAGTGTTTGGGTCCATCAGTAGAGAGAAGGAGTAGGGAAAGTGGACAGAAGAATAGGGAAGAAAGGGGATCAGGAACCAGTGTTACAGAGATTGTACAGTCAAAGCAGGTCAAAGTGACAGAGGAGCAGGTTAATATGCTGGAATATATGTACAGAGAGTGTAAATCCACCCACTCGGCCCCTCTTTCTCAACACCGGCGCAGAAACTAGAGCTGATGTGGTTTATCCAGTGCCATTTTCTGACTCAGCACTCCAAATAACCAAACTGAAATATTAATACTACCACATCAGCTCTAGATTATTAAATATGGTTTTCTTTGGGCGAGCAGATGGCAACTACTGGATGGCATATGTTCTGTATCAGAAACTAGAGCTGATGTGGTCTACCCAATGCAATTTTCTGAATCAGTACTCCAAATAACCAAACTGAAAGATTACTACTACCACATCTCTAGATTATTAAATATGGTTTTCTGTGGGTAAGTCGATGGTGACTACTGGATGGCATATGTTCTGTATCAGAAACTAGAGCTGATGTGGTCTACCCAATGCAATTTTCTGAATCAGTACTCCAAATAATCAAACTGAAAAATTACTACTACCACATCAGCTCTAGATTTTTAAATATGGTTTTCTGTGGGCGAGCAGATGGCAACTACTGGATGGCATATGTTCTGTATCATAAACTAGAGCTGATGTGATCTATCCAATGCAATTTTCTGAAATGGCACCCCAAATAACCAAACTGAGTCTAATGTTGACCAAAAACTCGTACTAATGTTGGAGAGTGGCCCATGGTCAAAGTGGTCCCTGGTCAACCACTGATGTAACGGCAGCAACAAAACAAATGATCCTTCCATCTGCTGTAACCGATTTAGTCATTTACCATAACCACACCTTATAACCATAAAAGTAATAGTTTAAGTTACTTTTATAGTTACCATTACGGGGTGTGGTTATAGTTACAGGAGTCTCATTACAGTAGAGTCTTGCTTATCCAACATAAATGGACCAACCGAATGTCGGATAAACGAAAATGTTGGATAATACGGAGTCTCCTACTGTTATCCGTCCAGCTCGGAGCTTGACACCTTGAATACTAACGACAGCGACTCAAAGAGTTAAAGCAAGGCAACGCCTCGGGACTAGAGAGGCCCAGCAGGAAGTGTCCAGATGTGGAAGAGGAGCGTGGAAATCAGAGGGAAGGAGGGAGGACGCTTCTGCTTCCGGTCCCTCCTCTTTCCCC